TGGGTGCTGGAGCAGCCGTGTGGAGACCCCTGCCAGCGCTGAGATGTTTACACGTTCACTGATTTGGCTTTCCTCCTGCAGTTGGTGTCATTGCATGAATTTTGTGAGATGGAGGACTTTATGGATTGGTGTCATACATATGGGTTAATCTTGGACTTGTGGGCTTGGGTAGGACTGGGTTGGGATGTTTTCATGATGCGCACTTAACTTTTATATAAAACTCTCTCTTATACATGAGTTTCTGTGGATTTGTTTCTCTAAAGTACCCAGACTAACACACCTTCTTCCAAGAGAGATTTGTTTGTCTGGAAGTGGGGTGAATAAAATGAGTCTGAGATCTCCCTCAGTGGCAAGCAGAAGTTTAGATGGAAAAAAGAAGCTAAAGCAATGCCCAGTTCAGGGGATTTTCCCTTTGGCAAATGGTAAAACGGAATCACGTAAAGCAGGCCATCTGGAGACTTTCCAATTAAAGCAAAAGACTAGTGGGAGGAGATTCGAGAGGGCTGAAAGTCTGACTTTGAATAGTCACATACTTATTTACTACAACTCACCGATCGAAAAGGGCAGAAAGTCTTCTCTTTTCCTAAACTGTCCATTCTCCAGAAAATGCTCCGGATTGAATGTGTCTGGGGTGGCCCAGTCCATGGGTTCCCTGTGCAGTGCAGTCAGGTTGGTTAGGACTACGGTCCCCTAGAGAGGCAGCAAAGATTCAGACAAGGTTTGACCCATGAAACAGGCCTACACACAGGCTACCAGTCCTTGGGTGCCCACATTTTGTTATATGCTAAACTCCCCTACACGCCCCAACCCTGAGCCCAAACCCCCCGTGGCAAAGTTTACAGTGGTGCATCAGAAATGCTTTCCGGGATTTTTGCAGGGAAATTTAGCTACTATTGATTCTGAAATGTATCTTCTTTAGAGAGTTAGGTCATTGTGGGACTTGGGAGGGTCCATGCATGCAGCAGGAGAAGAGAGTAGAGCAGCTAACTACACAGTGCTGTACCAAAATCAATCCTGTGGCTCACTCAGGGGTAACTGTGGCTGCCCTATCAAGGTAAGAGATATCTCAGCCATCTCTGGTAAATGGCACTATCTTCCTTAATAAATAAGAACCAAGTGGCCTGGGGAAAGACACCCATCTACATCCAGGAAGAAACCCAGGAATTGTCCTTAATCCAGCCCTTCCCTCTACCTTCATCCAAGGCCTCAGCAAGAATGGCTGATGTCACTTCCTGAATTGATCTTCAGTCCATCTCCTTGATTCCACATCCACTGCCACCATATTAGCTCCAGCAACTACCTAGGATGCCTCTGCTCATATAAGAGCCTTCTAACTCTATCCCAAGGTTCAGCATTCTCACCTTTCACGGAAGAGACCTGGATTCAGTTCCCAGCCATTGCCCTTTAAGTAGAGACATTACCTCTCTGTCAGTGGAGGTTTACATGTGGTGCAGTGGGTCATGCATAGAACTGTGACCTGTAAGGTTGGCACTTCAAACCTACCAGCCACTCTGAGGGAGTAAGATGAAGCTGTCTGCTCCCACAAAGACGTAGTCTTGAAAACCCAGCCTAAGAGAGTTCTACTCTGTCCCATGGGGTCACTGTGAGTCTGAGTGGACTCTAAGGCAGAGTGGGGTGATGTTAAAAGGGTTTAGCAGAGCTTCCAGACTAAGGCAGACTACAAAGAAAGGTCTCATGATCTCCTTCTGAGAGTTTGTTAACAGAAACCCCATGGATCACAGCGGTCTGGTTTCGGAGGCCACGAAGTTTCCACAAGTTGAGGACTGAATTCATAGCAACTAACAAGTATGTCCCAGGCCCTCTCTGCCCCTTTTCATCTGTTTGCATCCTGAAGAAGGGAGAGCATTGGAAAGGATTAACCACACTCATTCATCCTCTCCTCTGTTGAGTTTGAAACCCTGTAGGAACTTCCCACTACTCTTAGCTTGAAGACCCATCACCTGGGCCTCCTTCTTCCTTCATCCTCTGGCCTGAATGCCCACTATATTGACTTCCTTTCTGTTTCTCAAGCATGCCAGGCTTTCACTCATTGCAAGGCTTTGAAAACATGCTACCCTCCTCTCCCACCTCTTACCCCCGCACCTCCCAGGAATGCTGATTTCCTTATTTTGCCACCAAACTGGCCCTAGTCATTCTTACTCCTTTTTGGAAGCCTTCTCTGATCACTCCCTACTTCACGCCATTTGCATTTTATCGCACCTTGTACATTGTTCATGATTTGTCATTATCGAGGCTAATCATTTGCATGATTATTTTTGTGCTCTGGTTGTTCCTCCTGAGCTGAGCATACTAGCTGCTCAATGAATATGTATTGAATTAATAAAAAATAATGCTACTTTGAAGTAATCTCTGCAATAAGTAGTTGTAAAGTGCTCTGCATAAATGACTTAATTTTGCCTTTACACAAATCTTGCTAGGTAGGTTTTATTTGAACTTTACAAATGAAGATGGGAGCTCTAAGAGGCTGCACAACATGGCGGTAGTTTACTCAGTATGAAGATGTTAAGCCGCGATTCGAGCCAGGCCAATCCCTTGCTCTCGCTCTCAGTCTCTGCATTAGACAGTCAATTAGATATTTCAGTTCCAGGATAATTATTAAAGTTGATTTTAAAAATCAGTGGTAGATGGAATATGTTGAACTGAGATGGCTCCTTGAAGTTCAACAAGTAACTAGAAAAATGCAGACAGCACCTGAGTTTTAGACTTCAACTTTTACCACAAGATGCCCAAACAATAAGGAAATCAGTGTGTGGGAGCCACTTTTCCCGACTCTGCACCTACAGAGTCCAAAGGGTACCGAAGCAGTGGCTAAGGGGCGTCCAAGGGTAACCCAGGGGGAAGCAAAGTGCCTCAGATCTCTGCCTCCTCGGATTGTTCTGGGTAAGAGACACTTAAATACACAAAAAAACTTCAGCAAGAGCAAATCCATTCTAACTCATAGCAACCTTATAAAAACCAAAGTCAATGCCACAAATATAATCTGATTCACAGCAGCCCTATGGGACAAGGTAGAACTGCCATGTGGGTCCGAGGCTGCATATCTTCATGGAGCAGAAAGCCTCATCTTTGCCCTGCAGAGCTGCTGGTGGTTTCAAGCTGTCGACCTTGAGATTGGCAACACAATTGATAGCCTCTCACGCCACTAGAGCCCATAAAACTCACTCATTGCCATTGAGTTCACTCTATCATATAGCGTAGAACTACCCCTTGGGTTTCTTAGACCAGAACTCTTGGCAGGACTAGGAAGTCTAGCGTCAGCCTGTAGAGTCGTTCAGAAATGCCAACTTTGCAGTTTGCGGCCCGTCATGTAATCCACTAGACCACTATGGCTCCTTCCAGGCCTCAGACCCCAAACTCACTGTCAACAAGTCCATTCTGGCTCATGGTGATCCCAGAGGGCAGGGTAGAACGGCCCCTAAGGGCACAGGCTCCTACTACACCTCATACTCCAAACTCATTGCCATCAAGTCAATTCTGATTCATGGCAATCCTATAGGGCAGTGTAGAATGCAGAGTGCCTGGAGGTTTCAAACTGCAGACCTTTCGGATGGCAGCCCAGCTCTTAGTCACTATGCCACCAGGGATCCTATGCTAGACCTTCAAATTGCTCACACAGAAATTCTGATTCCAATGTCTCCCTCAGTCTTCATGATCCCTGCAGAGGACTCTCCTGTGCCCTCTCCCACTCTGTCTAGAGACTACACATGCTCATTATCTCCCTTAGCTCCTCACCACCTGAGTCTGCCTCCGGGGATCCACTTTAATCTATTTAAATGCCTCTGTGATATAGATGGGAGTCCTGGTGATGTCATGGTTACGAGTTGGGCTGTGTGTGTGTGTGTGTGTGTGTGTCAGTCTGGGTAGACCAGAGAAACAAATGCAGAGAGACGTTCATATGTATATAAGAAAGAGTAATTGTACATAAAGAAAACATCGGCATATGTCAGCATTGACTCAAAGGCAGTGAGTTATTTATCCACATCTCACATATATATTTAAATTCCTCTATGATATATATATATTTAAACTCCTCTATGCTATATATATTTAAACGTTATGATATATGTGACACATATATAGCACAGAGGAATTTAAATAAACTGGAATGGACCGGAGCCTGACTCAAATGGTGAGGTACCAATGATGGAGAGTAGAATCAGAATTTCTGTGGGAGGAATTCAAAGTTAAACAAAAATCTACTTCCAAAGAAAACTACAAATAATAACAGTCTGATGGGCACTTGATGATGGAGATGGCACAGGACTGGGCAGTGCCCTGTTCCCATGTGCATGCGGCTGCAATGAGTCTGGGGCTGAGTCTAAGGGCAGCTAACAACAGTAGGAATGGAGGGAAATGCAGCGAGACTCTACTTTTAAAGTAAAAAAGAAAAAAAAAATTCCCCTGAAGAGAATATGGTGCAGCAAAAAATATATATATATCTCTGAACCTTGAAATCAGGATTGATGTAATTTGGTCCCAACTTGTCACTTACTAGCTGAGAGACCTGAGGAAAATAGTTGCTATCTCTGAGCCTCAACTCCCAATCTAAAAGATTGTTATAACAAAGCAACATCTTGACTGTGTGAGACATTTTGAAAAAACAAACAAAAAACCACCTTGATAGTTCGAGGCACACAAGTATTGCTTGCTTGATGTTCCTTTCTCACTCCGTATAACATTAGATTCCCTTTTGTGACAGTAAATTCCCTAACACTGGGTCTGTAAGTGCAAGATAGAAAATTACCTCCGGATATTATGCTAGAAAACCAGCATTAATATGATGCTGACTCAAGTATTCTCAAGCAACCCATGATATTTTATCATTCCAGAGCCCCAAGATTCTATCTGGCCAGGGCATAGTCTAGGGAGATGTTCTACCAAAGAAAGAAGATTTCTGTGGCAACATGTCGCTGAGAACCACGGTCCACTGTATCCCATCAATGATGCACAACGCATATTTTATTGCTGGCTGCTGTCCAGTTGACCCAGCTCCTGGAGACCAGGTGCACAGTGGGGCCTGCCTGCTGAGATCCTTGGGATGTCCATGGCTGGCTGTCAGAAGGAGCTCAGCAGGCCTTCTTCCAGCCTTATCTTCTCCCTCCGGAAGCCCTCCTGAAGCCTGATTAGTGTCATGGCAGAATTTAAACTTCCATGGACAGATAGGTATTGGTGGGAATGAGGCCCACTGGCCAGAAATTTAACCCAGGTCTCCCACATGGAAGATGAGAACTTTTCCTCTGAACTACCATTGTCCTCCAATGCAAAATGATACAGTTAAAAATTCTGAGAAGTCCCAGAGCAAAGAAAAGTAAGTCCTTTCTTGAAGTTATTTGTCCATAGAATCCTTCATTCCTCCAATACCTATTAACACATAGTTGCACCAGTAATATTGTAAAGCTCACTCATATACATGTATACACATAGTTGTTGTTAGGTGCCATCGAGTCGACTCTGACCCATAGCAAACCCATACACACAGAACAAAACACTGCCCAGTAGTGTGCCATCCTCACATGTGTTCCTATGCCTAACCCAATTGCTATAGGCAAGGGGACAATCTATCTCGTTGAGGGCCTTCCTCTTTCACTGCCCTTACACTTTACCAAACATGATGTCCTTCTCCAGGGACTGGTCTCTCCTGACAATATGTCCAATGTATGTAAAATGAAGTCTTGCCATCCCCCTCTAAAGAGCACTCTGGCCTTACTTTTTCCACCATACATCGGCTTGCCTTTTTAGCGCTCCATGGTACTTTTAATATTCTTCCCCAGCACCACGATTCAAATGCATCAATTCTTCCGTGGTCTTCAATATTCAAAGTCCGACTTTCACATGCATGTGATGCAATGGAGAATGCCTTGGCTGGGGTCAGGCACACTATAGTCCTCAAAGTAACATCCTTGCTCTTCAGTAATCTAAAGGGTTCTTGTGTAGCAGATTTACTTAATGCAACCCATTGTTGGGTCTCAGGACTGCTGCTTCTATGAGTATTGGTTGTGGATCCAAGCAAGACAAAATCCTTGACAACTTCAAGCTTTTCTCCATTTATCATGATGTTACCTATCGGTCCAGTTGTGAGAGTTTTGGTCTTCCTTACATTAAATTGTAATCCATACTGAAGGCTATAGTCATTGAACTTCACCAGCAAGTGCTTCAAGTCCTCCTCATTTTCAGCAAGCAAGGTTGTGTCATCTCATGTCACAGGTTGCTAATAAGCCTTTCTCCAATCCTAATTTGCTCAGTATACAGATTGAACAAGTATGGTGAGAGGTTACAACCCCGAAGCACACATTTCCTGATTTTAAACCATGCAGTATTCTCTTTTTTTGTTTCTACAACCGTCTCTGGATACGTAAACAAGTGCCTCATGAGCACAATGAAGTCTTCTCATTTTTCTCAGTGTTATATACAGTTTATTATGATCCCCGTAGTCAAATGCCTTTGTGTAGTCAATGAAACACAAGTAAACATCTTTCTGGTAGTCTCCGGTGTCAGTCAAGATATAGCCGGCATCAGCAATGATATCCCTTGTTCTATGTTCTTGTCTCAATTCAGTTAAACTTTTGGCAGTTGTCTGTCAATGTCCTACTGCAACTGTTGTTGGATGATTTTAATCAAAATTTTACTGAGTGCAATATAAATGATATTATTCTAGAGTTTGAGCATTCATTTGGGTCACCGATCTTTGGAGTGGACACACATATGGATCTCTTTTAGTCAGTTGGCCAAGGAACAGTCTTTCAAATTTCCAGACATAGACGAGTGGGTGCTTCCAGGGCTTCATCAGCTGTTGAAACATTTCAATTGGTGTTCCATCAATTCCTGAAGCCTTGTTCTTAGCTAATGCATTCAGTGTAGTTTGAAGTTTGTCTTTCAGCACCACTGGTTCTTGTACATAGGGTACCTCCTGAAATGGTGGACCATGGACTGGTTCCTTTGGTAGTCACTCTGTTTGCTTTCCACCTTTTTTCGATGCTTCCTGCATCATGCAATATTTTGCCTACAGAATCTTTCAAGATTTCAATTCGAGGCTTGAACATTTTCTTCAGTTCTTCCAGTTTCAGACATGATGAGTGTGTTCTTCCCTTTTGGTTTTCTAATTTTAGGTCCTTGCAAATTTTGTTATAATATTTGGCTTTGTTCTTCTAGAACTGCCCTTTGACACTTTCTATTTAGCTCCCTGACTTCATCCTTTCTTCGATTTGCTTCAGCTACTCTAAGATTAAGAGCAAGGTGGTAGTTAATTTATTGTGTGAACCTGGCCGATAAACACATGTGAGGTTAATTGAATGCCGGAGGGATAAATGACTCGGTGAGCCTCGCCTTTCTAGTTCTCAGGTCTCTTGATTTGTGATGGGTGGACCAGGGTGAAAGCTGCCTTAGCCAGTTCCCTGCTTCAGCTGGCAAGGCTCACTTCCTACAAGACACCCCCAAAGAGAAACCTCATGAACCTACCCCGATGCAGCCCTGGGTGCTGGAGCAGCCATGTGGAGACCCCTGCCAGCGCTGAGATGCTTACATAGTCACTGACTCGGCTTTCCTCTTGCAGTTGGCATCATAGTATGTATTTTGTGAGATGGAGGACTTTGTGGATTGGTGTCAGACAGATGGGTTAATGGATTAATGTTGGACTTGTGGGCTTGGGCAGCACTAGGTTGGGATGTTTTCTTGATGCACACTCAACCTTTATATAAAACTCTCTCTTACACATGAGTTTCTGTGGATTTGTTTCTCTAAAGCACCCAGATTACCACAAGCAAATTTCAGAATTTCTTCTGGCATCCATTTTGTTCTTTTCTGTATTTTTAATGGCTTTTTGTTTTCTTCATGCATGATGTTCTTGATATCCACCTACAGCTCATCAGGTCTTCTGTCATTGGTGTTCAATGAGGCAAAGCTGTTCTTGAGATGTTCTTGAAACTCAGGTGGGATAGACTGAAGGTTGTACGGCTCTTGTGAACTTGTTTAATTTTCTTTATCTTTATCCTGAACACACATATAAGCAATTGATGGTCCGTTCAACAGTAATTTCCTGGTATGGTTTTAGCTGTGATACTGAGCTTCACTATTGTGTCTTCCCACAAATGTAGTTGATTATATTTCTGTGTATTCCATATGAGGAAGTCCAATTGTATTGTCACCTTTTGTGTTGTTGAAAAAAGCTATTTGCTATGAGCAAGTTGTTGGTTTTGCAAAACTCTATCATGTGATCTCCAGCTTAATTTTTATAACCAAGTCCATATTTTTCCAACTAGTAGTGCTTTCTCTTTGTTTCCAACTCTTGCATTACAATCATCAATAATTATCAATGCATCAGTTAGATCAATTTCTGACTGAAGCTGTTGGTAGAATTCCTCAATTTCTTCATCATTAGCTTTTGTGTTCAATGCACAAATTTGAATAATAGTTGTATTTCTTGCATTTCCTTGAAGGCAGATAGATAAAATCCTAACACAGACAGCATTGTACTTCATGATGGATTTAGTAAGATGCTTTTTGACAATGAGTACCACACCATTCCTCTTGATTGTGTTGTTCATGGCACAGTAAATCTTATGATTTTCTGATTCAAAATGGCCAATACCCATTCATTTCAGCTCACTAATGCCGAGGATATCAATCTTCATGCATTCCCTTTCACCTTTGACTGTCAGCAAGTTTCCTTAATTCACCTTTTGCACATTCCAAGTTCCAATTATTATGGGAAACAGAAGGATTTCTCTCAAGCTGTCTCCCCCAAATATATGCCAGACTTAGCTGCTTGAGAATGACTATACACTTGGAGGTCATCAGAAGTAGATTAGGGGTCATTCTCCCTAAGAGCTATCAGCCATCTAGACCAAGCACATACCACTGTTTATCCCACAACAAGTAGGGCCCACTCCCTTCTGATAAGGATAGTAGTTGCCTGTTTCCTTGTAGGAGACACAGAGAGGTCAAACCCACCCAAGGATGACCAAGGTTAGGCTGCCATCATGAATCCAGGGTCCGCCCATCTTGTCACATGCATACCCCTAGACCTTCCCATTCCTATGGGCACACCCCTAGCTCATCCCCTTCCTGTTATGCTTATGCCTATCATAGATCCCCTTCCTACGATGTGTATGCCTATTGTACTGCCCCTTCCTGTAACGTGTGGTTACCTGTAATCATGTCCCCCTAATAAGACATAACTGTTGGTTAGCAATAAAGTGGAAGCTCTCCCTGGTGCTCGCCCCTGAGGGCTCTCCTGCTCTCGTGCCCAGACCTCTTTCCTGCTCTCGCGGCCGGTCTCCCCCAACGAGGACCACCAAGTGGGGCTGAGGTGAGCATGCTACCCTGAATTGTGTCTGACTCCATTTTTCCAATCTTTCCTCTACCTCTCATGCTCTATATGACTTTAATATAATATTTACTTATTATCACTGTACAATTGTGCCTATCGGACCTGTGATGATTTGTGGGGGACCCCTTTCCTTATTCCCACAAATTATTTTTTTAAAATTGCAGCTGCTTCTCTCTACCTTGAGCTTTGCTCCACCAGCAAATGACGATACCAAAGGCTCCACCCTCACCTAGTACATGCCACCATGGTTAAGGCCCCTCTAAGAAATCATCTCTTCTCTTCTTCAGTCACATTTAGAATGCCCTCAGACTTGAGGGGTTCATCCTTCATGGTCTCTATGACAATGCTATGCTTCCTTTGTTTAGGCTTTCATTATTTCACAATCATTCAAAGCTGTTCATAAGGTTTTCAGTAGTTTCTTCCTCCAAAGTGGGGAGTACTTCTACAATAAAGAAGATATATATATATATATAGATAGATAGATAGATATAGATATATGTAGATGTGTCCTACTATATGAAAGGTCTTCAAAAAGTTCATGGATAAACTTCATCTTTTGATTTCGTCTCACCATAAACTTTTATGAAGTCCCTTGATTACAAGATGCCAGGTACATAACTTTCTCTCACACATTTGACTGTTTCTTTAGCACATGAACACATGTCACTTTTCAAGTTAAGATTCTTACTATCTAAAAAGCCTGACTTGATGAGCTGAGGCTGACAGTTCCTGGTTACCTTTGGCAGGTGGTATCCAGCCAGCGTGGTATCGAAAGTCACTTCTCTGGGCACGTTGAGGGGGATGATGTTGCCCATTCTGAGCACCTCGTGGATGACAGCATTGGTGTAAGGCATGTGGTCTCGGTTGGCTGTGGTGGGAAACTGTGACTGGCCAATTACTCTGTCGATCTCAGCTTGTACTTTCTCTGGAAAAGAAGAGCAGGGTCTATTATTGGTTAAACTTTCATAGGTTCTTCCAGAGATGCAGGGATGATCTCCAAGGTTTCAGCTGTTGCATTTTAAATAGTCATTTGGGAACAACCAGATAAAATGGTTCTTAAACCTTCAAAGAGAAGGTTTGATGCAGGGCTCCAACAATGGGCTCAAACAACGTAACAATTGTGAGCATAGCTCAGGATGGGCAGTGTTCCATTCTGTTATACATTGCTATGAGTGGTGACTTGATGGCTGTTGTTGTTATTATTGTTGTTAGGTGCCACCCATAGAGACCCATTTCACAACAGAAGGAAACCCTGTTTGGTGCTCTGGAATCCTCACAATTGTTCCTGTGCTTGAGCACATTGTTGCAACGACTGCTCAATCCCTCTCATTGCACATCAACAACCAAATCAATCCTTCAAATGGCTGATTTGAACATTTTCAACCTCATAGTTTCTTTGAGACTGATTAGGCTAAAGGATGAAATTATGAAGGTCCAATTGGCTAATATGAGAGTGTAGTCATAGTTATTAGCTGTCATTGAGTTTGTTCCAACTCCTAGTGCATGCTGTGAATTGGTTCCCAGTCATAGTGACCGTGTACACAACAAAACAAAACATTGCCTGTTCCTATACAATCTGCATAATTGTTCTTATGTTTGAGCCCATTGCTGTAGCAATTAGGTCAATCCATCTCATTGAAGGCTGTGCTAGATCGGCTGTTTAAAGAAACAAAGGCAGATACACTCATCGATGTATAAGAAAGAAGTTTGTATCAAGAATAATTATATATCAAGAAGGCATCTCAGCCCAGTTCAACTCAAAGCCATACTTTTGATGCTAGTCCATGAGTCCTTCTTCAGACTCAGGTAGTCACATGCTGATGATGCAGAATGATGAACTGGGAAGCAGGAAGGCCACAGGCTGGTGGGGGCAGAGTCTATTGGATCCAAATTCAGCGGAAACATGGCAGGGCACTGGCAGCTCTCAGGGTTGGGTGACTCACATGAGGCCAATCTTTGAGGCAGGCAGAGTTACAACAAGCAAGAAGGCGAAGGGGTGGAGAGAGGGGCAACTTCTAGAGTCCCTCAGTTTCACACAAAAGGCCACAGTCACAAGGAGGTGTCATCAAGCTACCTCTTGATGACAGGTTTGATTGCAACCCTAGCCACGAGTGTCTAGTTGATATAATATCACCCAACTACCACAAGGGCCTTCCTCTTTTTTACTGCCACTCTACTTTAGCAAGCATGATGTTCTACTCCAGAGACTGGTCTCTCCTGACAACATGTCCAAAGTATGTGAGATGAAGTTTTACCATTCATGCCCCTATGGAGCAGTCTGGCTGTACTTCTGCCCAAACAAATTTGTTTATTGTTTTCTAGCAGTCCATAGTACTTTCAATATTCTTCACCAGCTCCACAATTCAAATGAATTGACTTCTTCTTCAGTCTTTCCTAAACCTTAGATCTCAAAGTAACAGCCTTGCTTTTCAGTACTCTTAAGAGGTCTTGTGCAGAAGATTTAACCAACGCAATGCAACTTTTGATCTCCTGACTGTTGCTTCCATGAGCATTAATTGTGGATCTGAGTAAGACAAAAGCCTTCACAAACTTCGGTCTTTTCTATAGTTATCATGCTGTTACTTACTGGTCGAGTAGTGAGGATTTTGGTTGCCTTTATATTGAGTTGTAATCCATACCGAAAGCTGCAATCTTTGATTTTCATCAGTAAGTGCTTCAAGTGTTGTTATGAGTGACAGAAGAAAACATCATGGGTCCTGTGTCATCATCATGGCCGTGGCTGTATCTGAGTTCACTGCTGTGGTTAGGAGATTAATGTAGGCTCTATACACTCCAGTTTATCAGGGAGGTAAATAAGGGTGCAGAGGGTCCTGCTGTATGAGCAATTCAGGTCAAACTCTTGCACTACAACCGTAAAGTTACAAGTTAAACTCTCTGAACTTCAGTTTCCTTCTCTGATGAGTGGAGATAAATCCACATTCATATTGATGCATTTTTGCATAAACGGATTTAAATGAGTACCCAATAAATCATAGAAACTGCTGGTAATTATAACCAATATCTATTCTTATTTTTTCTGAAATGATTTTACCTAGTTGCCCCGCTAAGGGTTACACTTCCCAGGGTCCTTTGGAACTGTGATCATGTAACTAAGTTTTGACCAAGATAATGTGCATAATAGTGTTGCTTAACACATGCCCTTAAAAGAAGAGGTGATGGATCTTTTTGTCTTGAAAGAAAGCTCTAGTACTTTCCTCAAGGAGTGGGAAAACATCACGAAATTGGCAGTGTCTGGTATGATTCTTTCAAGAAGAGCTCTGTGGTTTGCCATGAAGGAAAACTGGGGCCATGTAGTCTTGGTATAAGGAAGAGCACACGTGAATCAACAGGACAGTGCAGTAGAAGAAGGGCATGTGAGTTAGTTAGGCCTGCATGCAGACTGGGTGCGGTGGAAGCTGACAGAAAAGGGCACAATGTATACAAGACTGAAAATCCTGGGCACAATTCAGAGGGTGATGAAAATCATTACTTAACAGATTATATTTTCATAAAATAATATCACCTTCTGGTGAAATTTAACAGTGTTAACGGACTTTTCTGTTTTCCCTCCTAGACTTTCAGCTTCTTGAGGGAAGGACTCCTGTTATTTGTGCATTACCAGGACCCATCACAATGCCTGACAGAAAAATGACAGTCCCGTTTATCTTTTCATTGTGTCACGCTATCTTCTGGCCCCACTCTGAGGCAGTGCGCTCCAGAAGACGTGCACTCTCCTGGTCAAGGCTCATCCAGCCGCCTGCTCACCTTGGATTTCTGGGTAGAGGACCATGTAAAGCAGAGCCCAGCGCAGCGCCGTAGCACTTGTCTCTGTTCCAGCAAAGAAGAGGTCCAGTGTGCTGAAGATGAGATTTTCTTCATGGAAACTTGAAGTAGTATTGCCTGTACACTGGAATGAAAATGGGTTTATTGATGTTTTTCAGAGAACTCATGGTCACCACAAAACACAGAGGCGCATCATCCTAAGGAAAGGATTTGGAAGGAAAGCTCCGAGAAGAAAACACTTTGCCCGTGGCTTCTTCCGGAGAAGGGTTGCTAGTTTTAGGACTTTTATCCCTGGAGCACATGAAAATCAAAGCAAGCATTTTCTCACATGATTCACTTGGAGAGGAGGTATTAGTACAATGTGAAAGAAGGAGATGTGAAAAAACAAAAAACAAAACAACCCCAGATTTGAGTCGTAATGTCATCCTTACTAGCTGTATGAGTTAGGACAAGTGGCTTAAACTCTCTGTGCCTCATTTTCTTGTTCTGTAAAATGGAAATAACCTTAGACCACATGATAAGCCGCCTGAGTTATAATGTGCATATAATCAACACCTGTTTGAATCTTATCAAAAAATAAACTCAATTCCCCTCTTCATATAGCAATTCTCCTGTCCTGTCCAGACTATTTTCCCTCTTCTAGGTTACCCTTCTAAATTGTCAAGCCCTTACTCAGTGATACACAGGAAATGAAAAAGTCACTGTGTGGAAGGTTGTACTCTCAGGGGTAGGGTGGGAAGGGGAGGGCGAGAGGAGGAAGCAACAGGCTAGAGGTTTGACAGGCTAAGGGGATCCACAAGAGAGAAAGGAGAAATCCAAAAAGGGAGAGTAAGGTAAGCTAACGAGGAGTGGCTGATGATAAATAGTTTAAACTTGTCGAATACAAAAGTATTCCCAGTATACCCAGTTCACAATAAAAAAAATTGTTAAAAAAAATCATATCACATGGATGTCAGAGTATTCCCTGCTTTGAAATAAGTTTATGTATGTTAAATAACTTTTTACTTTAAAAGGTAAGTACAGGAGAGTCCAACATAAAGAAGGGGTAGGGGGGAAGGGGGAGCGAGAATCGGGGTGGGGAGAAACTGAGTTGATGACACGGTGGGAACAGGGCACGAATCCACCCAGGGGGAGAGTATTGATTGTGTCCCCACAGAACTGGAACGTGCATACAGATCCCACCAGGACACGCCAAACCAGGAGGGCAACGTAACGCGCAGAGGAATCCACAAAAAGACTGGACCATACGCCCGGCCCCAACCAGAATCAGCCTGACCCCCACCATGGAAGGGAGTGCCATAGAAAATGAAAATAGACCGTCTGGTGAGGGAAAGGAACTGACCTACCACACCCAGAAGGAAGCTGAAGCAAAGGAAGGGGGAGGAAGGGAGTGGGGCACACCAGCGCCCACCAAGCTCAGAGGACAATAGCCAGGCTCGGAGCGGCCAATACACAGGGAGGACCAGCTCCACTGCGAGATGCGACATCCTGCACTGACCCATGGCCCTACACGGGACAGCACTGGAGACACAGTGTAGGTTGTGCAACTGAGCTGACCCCACCACACTGAGGCAAAACACTGGGTGCATGCAATAGAGTGGCTGGGGAAGCAAGGAGGTCCCGAGGGATATCAAGGATGGACTTTGGGGCCAGGGCGTGGCACCCCATCAGACTCATCCGGAAAACACTCCTAAAGGTCAACAGACAGACCTTGAACTATTAACAGGCTTTTCTTTCTTTCTTTTTTTTTCTCTTCTTTTAGATTTTGTATGTCAGTGGTGTTCTTTTTGTTTGTTAGTTTGTCAGTGTTGCTGCCGTCGTCGCCATGTTCTTATGTGCCACTTTGTTTGGTGCTGTCGAGGCCATCCGTGATTTTATTCACATATTATTACCTCTGCAGGTCTATCTAGATAAGAGAGGCTGGATAAACAATGTGGAGAAGAAAACGACGGGACCAATGGTCCCGGGGGTACATGGGAGAGTGGGAGGTAAGGGAAGGGAGGAGGTGTTGGCCAAACCAGGGACAAGGGAACAATGAATGGTTCAAAACCAGTGGCAGGGAGGGGGTGGGAGGACTGGTAGGGAGTGATCAAGGGCAAGGTAACTGAGAGGTATTACTGAAACCAGAATGAAGGATGAACATGGTAGTGGGACAGGAGGAAAGCATAAGGAAATAGAGGAAAGGAGTAGGAGGCAAAGGGCATACACAAAGGCTTAAATACAGACATGTACATATATAAATATATTTATGATTATGGGGAAATAGACTTATGTGCATATATGTATAGGTTTAGTAGTAGGGTAGCAGGTGGACATTGGGCCTCGATGCGTGCATTCCCTTAATACAAGAACACTTTGATCAGCTAAACAGTCATTCCCTGATATCCACCTTCCTGACATGATCACTGAAGACAAACGTGTGCATAAGCAAACGTGGTGAAGAAAGCTGATAGTGCTCGGCTATCAAAAGATATAGCGGCTGGGGTCTTAAAGGCTTGAAGGTAAACAAGTGGCCATCTAGCTCGGAAGCAACAAAGTCCACAGGGAAGAAGCACACAAGCCTGTGTGATCATGAGGTGTTAAAGGGATTAGGTAGCAGACACTAAAGAACAAAAACCATCATTGTTTGACCACCTTCCCAATATAAATACTGAAGATGAATGTGTGCATAAGTAAGTGCGGTGAAGAAGGCTGATGTTGCCCGGCTACTGAGAAATATAGCATCTGGGGTCTTAAAGGATTGAAAGTAAACAAGCGGCCATGTAACCTAGAAGCAACAAAGCCCATAGGGAAGGAGCACACCAGCCTGTGTGATCACGAAGGGTTGAGGGGACCGGGTATCAAGCACCAAAGGGAAAAAAATAAACATCATTGTGAATGAGGGGAGCGCGTGATGGGGACCCAATGTCCATCTGTAGACAACTGGACATCCCTTGCAGAGGGGTAGTGGAAAGGAAATGAGTCACTCAGGCTGCAGTGTAGCATTGATGAAACTCACAACCTTCCTCTAGTTCTTAAATGCTTGCCCCCCCCCCCCCCACTATCATGATCCCAATTCTACCTTGCAAATCTGGTTAAACCAGATGATGAACAGTGGTGCAGATGGGAACTGGAAATACAGGGAATCCAGGACAGATGACCCCCCTCAGGGCCAGTGGTGAAAGTGGTGATACCAGGAGGGATGAGGGAAGAGAGGGGGGGTAGAAAGGGGGAATCGATTACAAGGATCTACATATAACCTCCTTCCTGGGGGATGGGCAACAGAAAAGTGGGTGAAGGGAGATGCTGGGTAGTGTAAGACATGATAAAATAATAATTTATAACTTATCAACAGTTCATGAGGGAGGAGGGAGGGAGGAGGTGGGGGGGAAGAAAAATGAGGAGCTGATTCCAGGAGCCCAAGCGGCAAGCGAGAGTTTTGAGAATGGTGAGGGCAATGAATGTATAAGTGTGCGTTATACAACTGATGTATGTGTGGATTGTGCTGAGTTGTATGAGCCCCAATAAAATGATTTAAAACATAATAAAAAAGTAAGTATAAGTTATTATCAGTATATTTTAATAAAAAGTTATATACGTATTGAATGCTGAGAGAACACAACCCTTACACACACCTTTCCTGATTTTGAACTATGCAATAGTTCCTTGTTTGTTCCCACAACTGCCTCTGGATACATGTACAAATGCCTCATGAGCACAATGAAGTGTTCTGAACTCCCATTCTTCTCAAGGTTATCCATAGTTTATTATGGCCCACGGAGTCCATTGTCTGTGCATAGTGAAACAGAAGTGAACGTCTTTCTGGTATTTTCTGCTTTCAGCCGTCTGATACCAGCAATGATAGCCCTTCTTTCAGACCCTCTTTTAAGTCGAGGCTGATTTTCTGGCAGTTGTCTGTCAATGTACTGCCACAAACATTGTTGGATGATATTACGCAAAATTGTTCTTGCATGCAAAAATCAATATTGTTTCTGAGTTTGAGCGTTCTGTTGGGTCACCTTTCTTTGGAATGGCCACGCATATGGATCTCTTCCAGTCAGTTGGCCAATTAGCTATTTCCTGGCATAGTGGAGTGAGTGCTTTCAGTGCTTCACTGGCTTGCTGAAGAATTTCGATTGGTATTCCATCAATTCCTAGAAACTTGTTTTTGGCTAATGCATTCAGCGCACCTTGAACCTCTTCCTTCAGCACCACTGATTCTTGCTCATATGTTACCTCCTCAACTGTTGGAATATTGACCAGTCCATTTCGTATTATTGTCCCTATTTTGACATATTTGTGTAGGATGAATAATGACTTTCAAAGACGTCCACACCCTAAGCCCTAGAATCTGTTAATACGTTGCCCTATAAGGAAAAGGTCAGTGGCCCTCAGGGTCAGTGATTAAGCACTCGGATGCCATCTATAAGTTTGGAGGGCCAAACCCACGAGCAGTTGAAGGAGGAATATATAGTAGTCTGTACTTCTGTAAAGGATTACAGTTCAGGGGATTCTCTGTAGCAGTCCAGTTTCTCTGGGACTACTATTCATTGTAACTGAATTAACAGCAAAGGAGCATGGTTTACAGAAAATGCAGATAAGGAAATGATCCTAGATTATCCATAGGGGTCTACTGATATCACAAAATGACTTTATAAAAGAGAAGTGAGAGGGTAAAAAAAAAATTCAAATTAGAAATAAGCAGTTGTTACAGAGGAGGAAAGAGGCTAGGCTGTTGTCTTCTTGGTGACAATAGAGAAATAAGCCAAGGAACTCAAGCTGCCTCCAAATTCTAGAAAAGACCAGGAAACAAAATTTCCCAAGAGCCTCCAGAGGAATCAGCACTACCAAAGTTTGAACTTTTGTCCAGCAAAATTGATTTTAGATACTTGACCTTCAGAATGCCACTAAATTAATAATAATTTATTACAGCAGATACTTTATTACAGAGAATATCAGGGAAGGAATACATTCCCATTTGCTCTAAAAGAAGAAAACCGGAGGGTGGGGGGGGGCGGGTGGAAACAGCTTTTATTTCCTCACCTTTGCCACTTCCTTCAGGTAAGCATCAATGAAGTCTCTCGGTTTATCAGGGTCCCAGTCTTCCTTGTGTTTTCCAATTGAATGAGAAACAAACAATTTCAATTTCTCCCAACCTCTGAATAATGTTTGGTGAGGTCCTGGAAGGAGCTTCATTATCCATGGAAACACATTGTAGAGCTAATTGACAAAACAAAAACGTCATGGAGACAATTTACCACATTTTAGGATAGCAGTCTTTTCTTTTTGTCTCTCTTTTGTTTGCTTATACATAAACCTCAGAGTCAGCCTTGAATTTTCTTTGTCTCTCATTATTCTAGAAAAACATTTCAGTTATCCATCCAAAACATGTCCAGCTTACAGAGTGAAAGACAGAAATAGACCATATTATGATAATACTTAGAGATGTCACTGCAGCACTTTTGAGAACAGAGCAACTAGGAAAAAAACCAACAAACCCACAGAAGAACTAAACAACACAATCAACTAATCCGATCTCTTCGGCCATGGGTTGACACACTTTTGATGGGGGGAAAAAAACCAATCCTTTCCCTCACAATAATTTAAAAATTATTTGAGACCTATAGCATGTTTTTACAAATAAAAAAATTTAAGGTAAGATTATAAATGAAACTATGAATGTACAAATGTGCTTTACACAATTGATGTATGTATGGATTCTGATAAGAGTTGTATGAGCCCCTAATAAAATGATTTAAAAAAATAAATGAAACTATGATAGTTTTATTTTCTTTTTCAATTTTACTTTAGAGCCACATGTACATACACAAAAAGCTGCATATGGTTCTCAAGCTGAAGATTGTTTTAGACATTTATGGAACACTTCACCCAACAAAAGCCTAATATACATTTTCTTCTAGTGCACATAGAACACGCTTCAGAATAAATTATATAGTAGGCCATAAAGCAAGTATCAATACATTTGAAAACATCAAGGTACTACACACTTTTTTTTAGGTCACAATGCTAAAAAATTAGAAATCAATCCTAGGACTACTAACCAAAAAAAAAAAAAAATCGATTACATGGAAAGACAACACTTATAAACCACTGAGTCACTGAAGAAACAAAGAGCACAGTTTACAATTTTTTTTTAAACAAATGAGAATTTGTTCTTCAAAGAAATGGAAAAATAATCACCAACTTTATTTGGAAAGGAAAGAAACCCAGGCTAACACTATGTAAAGAACAAAAGGAAAGCAAAAGGCCTTTGACACCTAAGTTTCAAGCCCTATCAGACAGCCAGGACAATCCCAACAGCTTGGTACGTGCACAGTAATAAATATGCAGACCAATAGATTGGAACAGAGAACCCAGAATGCAACCAAGCATCTACGAACACCTGATTTTTGAAAAGGGCCTAAAACACATTAGGTGGGGAAAAGATACACTCCTTAATAAACAGTGCTGGCAAAAAATGAATATGCACTTGCAAAAGAATGAAACAAGATTCATACCTCACACTACGTACAAAAACTCAGGATGGGTTAAATATCTAAATATGAACTTTAGAACCATAAATATCAATAATGAAAATATAGGGGCACATGTAAGAGACCCAATACAAGGCATAAACACACTACCAAAAAAGAACTCAGATTAGGAAAAAGTATTTGGCAGAATATAACAGATACAGAACTAATTTAAAAAATCTAAAGAAAACTACAACACATTAAGAATAAAAATAAAAATAGCTCAATCAAAAATTGAACCCAAGGTGTGAATAGACAGCTTACTAAAGATAACATTTAGGCAGCCAATCGTCATATGAAGAAATATTTGAGCTCATTAGTCATAAGAGAAAAACAAATTAAAATTATGATGAAATACACTTCACCCCAACACTCTTTGCAAAACTCAAGAAAAATAGAAAACAATAAATACCGGAGAGGATTTGGAGAGAATGGCATGTTCCTACATTGATGGTGAGATTGCAGAATTATACAACCACTATGGAAAATAGTATGGCACTTCCTGAAATAAATTAATGTGCAACTGCAAATACTCTATGATCCTGCAATCCCTCAACTTGATAAATACCTTACAGAAATAAAGGACAAAACACTAGCACCTACATATGCACATTCATGTTTATCACACCAATTTTATAAAGCAAAAAGATGGAAACAATGAAAAGCCTGTTTGTGGAGAAACAGATGAACGAATTCTAGTACATACACACAATACGTTATGAGTTTGTCAAACATCTCACAATATGGATACATTTGAAAAAATATTAGGCTCATCAAAGTTAGCCGATGTCATAAAAATAAATATTTTATGTCACCACTAGTATAAAGGAGAAAATGGCTTTCACACCAAAGGGTTGTATCCTCTCACCATTCAATCTGTATGCTCAGGAAATCATCAGAGAAGCTGACTTTTATGAAGAAGAATGTGGCATCAGGATTGGAGGAAAGCTTATTAACGACCTGTGATATGCAGGTGATACAACCTTGCTTGCTGAAAGTGAGGAGGTCTTGAAACAGTTGCTGCTTAAGGTCTCTATTGACTCCCTCGGAGACATTGCAGCTGACAAGACACATGGAACTACACTAGTGCTCTGAGCTGGAGAAGCCACATGGACCTGCCCTGATGCAACCAGACCGCCAGAGCCGGTTTCACAGAGAGACTCTGCCAGCGCTGAGATGCTTACAACACCACGGGATCCAAAGACTTTCTACCCACTGACCTGTCACCGTCCTGCATTCGGCATCATTGCATGTGCTTTGTGAGTCTGAAAAGGTCTTTATAGATTGGTATCGGACTTATGGGTGAATAGCAGACTTATGGGCTTGGACTGGACTGGGTTGGGCTGCTTTCTTAATGTACCATTACCCTTTATACAAAATTCTCTCTTATACACATATGAGTTTCTATAGATTTGTTCTCTAGTCTACCTGGACTAACACAATAAGCAAAAAGCAATGCTTGGCTATCCACAAAGACACTTGTTCAGGAATGTTCATGGTAACTTTATTTATTCCACATATGGACTAGAAATAACCCAGAATTTTACTGTGAGAAAACAGACTAACAATCAGAGGTATCCTCATACAACAGATTGCTAATCGGTATTTACAAAGAGATTGATCAGGAAACAGCCTGAACAAGAAACCAGACACATAAGAGAACCTCCGACGAAGGAACGTCGATGAACCAACGAGAGGCAGAGAGAATTAAGTCTCCAAGACAACGACAACATTGATCTCTTGAAAAAGAACAGCAAAAGTTCAGCATAAAATTTTGTAAATTACACCAATTCTAGAAATTTTCTTTGTACAGAAATGGAATGTTCATGAAAATAAGAATGTCAAGAGATTGATTTATGTTAATTTTTGTTTAGGTTCATTAAAAAACATATATTTTTTAAATTAATAAATAAATAAGAACTAATTTGTATCTGGCTCCAGCCCTGATATCCTGAACCAAGATTGAGAACAGCACTGCTTACCTGGCAAAAATGTTGACCTTCTAGATACGTGACTTCATCCAGCAGCCTCAGCAGCTCCTGAAACTGAGCGTCCTGATACTCAAAGCGCTCCCCAAAGGTGATGGAGCAGATGATGTTCGAAACTGCATTGGTGATCTTGCTGTGAGGGTTGAAAGGCTGTCCTAGAGGCAGAGAAGGAAGACATGGATCCTTTCAGAATGATGGTGCTTCTAAGGAAAGTCTACCTATCACACACAGCATGCGAGGTACTGGAGACAGTACCCTGCACAGGATCTGTCACGTAGCAAGTACTCAGGCAATGCTTGGGGAGTCAGGCTTTAAATTCACTAATGTGTGCAATGCCTGTCTTCCTGTAATAAACTCCAGGAGGGCAGGCTTCATGGTTAGTGTTTCATTCTGACAGCTTTAGTGCCTAGCCCTGGGCTCGACACAGGAGATAGACTTAGGCACATTGATTGAATCTCCATTCAACCAAGGAATGAGTTAGACTTAGGCACATTGATTGAATCTCCATTCAACCAAGGAATGAGATAAACTCTTAGGCCTCTCCTATGAAAAGTCTCACCTTTCTCCTCTTCTATTGCCTCGCAAAGGCAGCGAGCCTCCTCCTGAATGTGTTCTTCTAAGTTCTTCTTCCCTAAACCAAAGTTCCTCAGTGTTGTCAGGGCAAACCTCCTTTGTTCCTTCCACACCTGGCCGCTGGACATGATCAACCCTAGGACCAAGAAAGTCAGTATTACACATTCTGCTTCCACAAGGTTGACATCTGACAAATTATGTGGAATGGAAGCAACCAAGGAAAGGCAGGAAAAGGGCATGAAGCCCTTGAAACCTGTTCAGAAAAAGAATCTCAAAGCAATGGGTTTGCTCGTCAGCATTTACTAAATGTTCATTATAACCACTGAGTGTTATTCACATTTCATGCAATTGTGTACACACAGAAATTGTATGTAATAGGAATAATTATTTTACGTTTTACTAATAAGAAACCAAGGAACAGAGGACCGAGCAAAGCTTGCAAGGCTACACAGTTTGGTCAGTAGCTGAACAGGCCTTCACATTCAGGTCTATGAGATTCAAAATCTTTGATTATTAGTCAGAAAGTCAATATATATACAGTGAACCCTCGCCACTTTGCGCTTTGACTTCCGCGGCTTCACTCTATCGCGGTTTTTGCGTAACAGCGCATGCTCTGTCATTACTGCCACTGATTGGCTCATACTGTACACGCTTGATGCCATAAATAATATAATAAATAATAAATGATAATTGTAACGTCCAAATGCTACACTGCTTTATATTTCCTCACTTCCAAGGCACTTCCACTAATCTGGCTTTGTCTTCTACTTTCTCCAATGACATAGCGATCTCCTGTTGTCAGATTCAGTGATGCTTTCAAACCTAAAACTGGATTTTTCGGCGGATACTTCCCGTCTTAAAATGATCTGCCAGTGGTTCTTTGGGCAAAAGCCTCTCTAGATTTCCCTCCTAATCATCTGATTGTAACTTCCTTTGTTTCTTATCCTTTACTGGCACGTCTCTTCTCAGTCTATAATCCCTTTTAGGAATTTCAACAACTTTAAAAATGCTAAATAACATATTTTGATAGTGATATTTGACATTTCTTTCCCTGGCCTGCAGACTAATATATAAAACACCCTGCTTGACTTTGCCAACCTAAAGGCACCTTAGAATCACAATATCCAAGACCAAATCCCCGACTTTCGTTACACAGCTTCCCACCAAACCAAACCAAACCAAATGAAATACCTTGCCCTTATCCACATCTTTCTGTTTCTCATCATCTGTGCAATCAGGCGTCCTCCTCAAACTCACTAGCCTCCAATCATCTAGTTCATCATCTAACGTTGGATTGATCTCCTGAGTACCTCCCATTCATGCATCCTTACTGCCACCCTAATGGTCTGACCCACGGCCATTTCTGCAGTTTCCTTAACACAACCTAGCACTGTCTCTAACCTACAGCGCTACAATAAACTTTAAGTGTCTTTCTCTGCATCTATTCTTCCGCCCTTCATTCTATTTTGTACTCTGCAACCTCAATTGCACTAAACACATACGCTGTATAGGCGATGATCCCACAACTGCTATTGTTATCAGCATACAAACCAAAGTCCTGTGCAAGAGCATGTTAAAAAAAGAATAATGAGGGTAACAAATGTACAAATGTGCTTTATACAACTGATGTATGTATGGATTGTGATGAGTTGTATGAGCCCCCAATAAAATGACTTTTTAAAAAAAAGAGCACATGGGGGTGACTCCTGGCCATGCCTGGCAGCCTCAGTTTATGACGCTCACTCTGTCTCTGTGCTTTCACCATTGGTCGTCTTTCAATTCCGCAAGGTCGCCGCTCTTCTTCCCATGCCTGGGGCTCTACACATTGCATGGTTTCTCCTCCTCTCTCTTCTCTGCATTCAATAGTCAATCCCTTAGTTTAGCTTAGCCTAAATGTATATGCTGGATCAGATATGGCTTGCACTTAACGTCATAACATAAAGGACAGTAAGTTAGAACTAATTGGTGGTATGTGTCTCTGAGTAGAATGTACATTACATAAGAACAGGCATTGTGTTTATTTTACTCCCTGCTTTATCTTTTATGCCTAGCACCACGCTTCACATGGCAGGTAATTTATAAAAACGCTGGCTGGACATGGAGTAAACGGATGAGATATTTCAGAGAGGAACTGGAAAGCTCCGGTGGTAGATACATAATCTGGTGTCAATTTGAGAGGATTATGAGTGAAGGGGTGGAGTCTGGCCTGTTAATCAAGATATATAACCAGTGAGACCTCTGTGTGGGCATGGCCTTCTTCTGAGAGTTCTGGGAACTCCTATTTTCCTCCTTGGAGGTGGGAGACACTTCTCTCTCTACTCACTCCCTTGGAGACTCTCTACTAACAAGGCTGACTCCCTGCGAGACATCCCTGAGGAGAAGCCACGAGTACCTACCCTGATGCTGCCCTGGGAACTGGAGAAGCCACGTGGAGACCCCTGCCAGCCCTGAGATGTTTCCACTGCCGCTGCATCCAAAGACTTTCTACCCACTGGCCTGTGATTGTCCTGCATTCAGCATCATTGCATGTGTTTTGTGAGTCTGAAAAGGACTTTATAGATTGGTATCTGACTTATGGGTGAATATCAGACTTATGGGCTTGGACTGGACTGCGTTGGGATGCTTTCTTAATGTACAATTACCCTTCATATAAAACTCTCTCTTATATACATCTGAGTTTCTATAGATTTGTTTCTCCAGTCTACCCAGACTAACACAGTCCCCGAACAAACAGATGCTACTTTGATAGAGTCATAGATTTGAGCTTTTCATTTCACGTTTTGAACGTTTAAATTTGTTAGATAATAATTAAAATTACTCATTTCAGCCTGTTCTAATGTGTCTGGGGTGGTGACAGACTAGAAGGCTTGAGATTCCATTTGCCATGGCCATAATCATAAAACACAGGGAACCAGAGACAAGAAATGGGTGGTTGATGCACAGTAGAGCCACATTCCTTGGAAACAGGCAAGCAGAATGCGAGAATGTGCTGCCTCCCCCTGTGCACTCACAGTGAGATGTATTTACTTGGTTATCAAAACAACTAGTGTTTCTGCATGAGTTGCAGCTTCTCCCAAATCCCTGCCATCAGGACTGACAGCACCACCTCCTCAGACAGAGCGATGGCTTAAATTCAGAACTACGGCCATGCAGCTTCCTTTAATGGCAGGGGTTTAATAAAGAGTTTGGTTTCTGGGAGTGTCAAAGAACTATAGTCACAAAGATACATTTCATAGCCTACACTAACAGCAAACAGACAAATCTTCCATTAGACAAGAAACTTACCATATTTGTTAAACACGCGTTCTCGGATAGGAGTCATGGGGCGGTTCACAATGGCTTGGTCCTTGTGGGCAAGGGCTTCTTTGATTAAGGGCAATCCACTTACAACAACGCAAGGAACATATCCCAAATCCACGCTGAAGAGGTTTCCATATTGCTTCACAAACTGAAACAGGAGGCACAGTTCAATAAGCACATATCTGTGTATCTAGGGATGAGGGGTATGGGTGTGTAGTTGCAAAGAGATTTTACTGACAGTAGCTGGGTATGTGTGCAGCCAAGTACCTCAGCCAGAACAGAGACCGCTTGCAGTGCACCACAGCAGCAAACCCTATGCCTCTCTGTGCCTTCATTTCACACTTTGGAAAACATAGACTCCAAATATTGATGTCGATAGCCTCTTCTATTGTAAAACACGAACAAACAAACAAACAACTCACTTGTGGCCTCACAGAAGAGTTTCTGTCTCTTTTTCTCCAATCTTCTCCAATAGGCTCAAATTTAATTCATGACAAGATTAGGAATCTCTTTCTAAAACATTCAGTAACAGTGCCAACAAGCATGGATCGAGTGAGGACACACACTACATAGTCCTAGAACCAGGCACTCTGGGCATCACTGTGACAAATGAGCACCTATCCAAATTCCAGTGAAAGGAGGCACATAATTCAGCATATTAGACCCAGCAAAGAAAGTTAAGGTTGCTGCAAGCCTAGTTTCATGAATATAAATTTATAGTAAATAGAGATATCTGTTTAACTAGATGACAAATTCCTTGATTTGTAATAGAGAATGGAAAGTTGAAGGCTGACCTACGAAGATCAAAGACTACTGCGTTCAACATGGATTACAGCTCGACATAAAGAAAACACTCGTTTCAATTAGACTAACAAATTGCATGATGCACGAAGAGAAGACTGAGGTTGTCAGGGATTCCATTGTAATCCACAGCCAACGCCCATGGAAGCAGCAGTCAGAAAATCAAATCATCTATTTTATAGGGCACATCTGCTGCAAAAGATCTTTAAAATGTGAACAATGATGAGAAATACAACTTTCCTCTAGTTCCTAAAGGTTTCCTCCCCGCTCCCACTACCATGACTAGAATTCTATCTTGCAAGACTGGCTAGACCAGAGGAGGTACACTGGTACAGATAGGAACTGAAAATACAGGGAATCCAGGACGGATGAGCCCTATAGGACCAGTGGTGTGAGTGGCAAAACAGGGAGGGTAAAGGGAGAATGGGTAGGGAAGAGGGAACCGATTACATGGAACTGTGTGTGACCTCCTCCCTGGGGGACAGACAACTGAAAAGTGGATGAAGGGAGACGTCGGACAGGGCAAGATATGACAAAATACCCATTTATAAACTATCAAGGGCTCATGCGGGAGGGGGGAGCGGGGAGGGAGGGGAAAAATGAGGACCTAATGTCGGGGGTTTAAATGGAGAGAAAATGTTTTGAGAATTTTGAGAAACGATGTACAAATGCGCTTTACACAATTGATGTGTGTATGGATTGTGATAACAGTTGTATGAGCCCCTAATAAAATGCTAAAAAAGAGAGAAAAAAAAATGTGAACAAGCAAAGATGTTTTACTAAGGTGTACTAGATCGAAGCCAGGCCATTTCCAATTGCTTCTACATGCATGTGGAAACTGGACAGTGAAAAAAGAATACTGAAAAATATTGTTCCTGAGAAGCAACAACGGGGAAACTTCATTTCACATACTTTAGTCACATTATAAAAAGGGATTGAACTCTTAAGAGGAAAACTAACCTTGTAAATTGGAAGATCAGCGAAAAAGAGGATGATCTTAGAGGACATGGACGGGCAGTGACTGCAGCCTGGTCTTAAACAAAGGGACAGTTGAAAGGCTGGGGTTGGACAGGACAATATTTGTTTTGTCACACATACACGTCATTGCTATGTCACATGGCACTTAACAACAGGGGCTGTCTCATGGTCTGGCATAAGTCCTAGTCTTTACAGCTGGGACCAGGTGAGAGGTCTACGGAGAGAAGTATCCTAGCTCTGAGTTCTATATGACTCTGGGCTCTGCGGTTCATTTGTTGTGGGTTGGGCACTTTGTTTCACAATTTTTGAGGCTCAGTTTTCTGACTACGAAAGGGTTGCTGGTGGTTATTCCACCCTTCAAGTTTCTGTGAGGAAGATTTAGAACAGCAATAAGAGAGGCATTGGGCCCTGTTGCCCCCCTCCCCCTCATCCTCATGTTTCTGAGGACAGAAAAGCTCTATGTGCAGGACATTTGGATGCACATCCACTGCAGTAGAGAGGAATAGCACGTGGGGATGTGTGGGAGGAAGGCACTCATGCTCTGAGTCACAGCACCTCCTTTGGTCTTCACTTTGGTCTCATGTAATGGCATGACCATGCTAGAGTGGTAATGATGTTTCTCATCTCTCAGAAAAGGATTTATGAGGCAACTTAGCTATAAATCATTCAATGACTGCCACAGTATATTGAGAGGGAACTGCGTTCAGGCTGGATTCTGAAGAGCATGTGCAACAAGGAATATTTATCACTCATGGTAATGTCAGATGGCTCTTCACTCAGAGCAGAGAATACCAGAAATGTGTTTGTCTTTATTGAGTATGCAAAGGCATTTGACTGTGTGGACTATAACAAACTATGGATCACCTTCAGAATGGGAATTGCAGAACATTTCATTGTGCTCATGAGGAACTTGTACATTTATTCCAAAGCAGTTTTGGGAACAGATATTACATGGCTTGAAATCAGGACAGGTGTGTGTCAGAGTTGTTTCCTCTAACAATATTTGTTCAATCTGTATGCTGAGCAAATAATCAGAGAAGCTGGCTTATATGAAAAAGAATATGGCGTCAGGATTTAAGGAAGACTAATTAACCACCTGCGTTATGCAGATGACACAACCTTGCTCAATAAAAGTGAGGAGGACTTGAAGACCTAGCTGATGAAGATCCCAGGACTGCAGCCTTCAGTGTGGATTATAACTCAATGTAAAGAAGACCCCAATTCTCACAAATAGACTGCGTTAGTCTGGGTAGACTAAAGAAACAAATTCATAGGCATTCATATGTGTTTACGAAAGAGGTTTATACAAAGAGTAATTGTACATTAAGAAAACATCCCAGCCTAGTCCAGATCAAGTCCATACATTTGATACTAGCCAATATAAAGTCCTCTTCAGATTCATGAAACACATGTAATGATGCCAGATGCAGGAAGATCACAGGCTAGTGGGTGGGAAGTCTTGTGGGTCCAGTGGCATTGTAAGCATCTCAGGGCCGATAGGGGTCTCCACTTGGCTCCTCCAGCTCAGGGCACTAGTCTAGATCCATGTGTCTTGTCAGCTGCAGTGTCTCTCAGAGAGTGAGCCTATGTCCTGCCTTCAGAGAGCTATTTATCTCCTTTGTGCCTCCAAATGAGGTCATCAAGAAGCGACCTGATTGACAGGGTAACTTCATCCCTTCACTCTTAATCCTCTCAAATTGACAACAGATTATATGTTATCACATGGACCAATGGTTAACATCATGATAAATGGAGAAAAGTTTGAAGCTGTCAAGGATTTTGTCTTGCTTGGATCCACAATCAATGCTCACGGAAGCAGCAGTTATGAGATCAGAAGATGTGTCGCATTAGGTAAATCTATTGCACAAGATCTCTTTAGAATATTGAACAGCAAGGGTGTTACTCTGAGGACTATAGTGCACCTGACCCAAGCCATGCTATTTTCCATCACCTCATATGCATGTGAAAGCTGGACACTGAATAAGGAAGCGTGAAGAAGAATCAATGAATTTGAATTGTGGTGCTGGAGAAGAATATTAAAGTATCACGAACTGCTAAAAGGACAAATACATCTGTCTTAGAAGAAGTTGGGCCCGAATGGTCCTTAGAGGCAGAGATAACAAGACTTCATCTTACATATTTTGAACATATTGTTAGGAGTGACCAGTCCCTGGAGGACATCAGACTTGGTATAGTGGAGGGGAAGTGAAAAAGAGGAAAGCCCTTGTGATAGTTACATAATCTGTTGTCAATTTGAGATGGAAGAGGGAAGGGGTTGGATTTAGCTTGGTATCAGCTCCTCATTTTCTCCCCTACCTCCACCACCCTCCCTCCCTCAAGATGATGGTAACAAGTGTACAAATGTGCTTGACACGATGGATGGATGTATAGATTGTGATAAGAGTTGTACGAGCCCCAACAAAATGATTTTAAAGAAAAGGCACTTGCAATCAATAAGTCATTGATCTAGCAAAATTCTATCCAACATTATTTCCAACTATTGATCCTTATTCTTTGTTGCCGATGTTTTTGGTTCCAATCACCAAAAATTATCAGTGCATCTTGATTGCATGATTAATTAATTTCAGACTGAAGAAGGTGGTAGAATTCTTTGATTTCTTCATCACTAGTTTTAGTGGTTGGTGGGTAAATTTATAAAATAATTGTATTAACTGGATTCACTTGTAACTGTACAGATATTATACTATCATAGACAGTGTAGTCCTTCAAAGGAGAGCTTGAAATGTTCTTTTGACAATGAATGCCATGACATTCTTTTCAAATTTGTCATTCCTGGTATAGTAAATCATATGATTACTTATTCAAAATGGCCAATACTAGTCCATTTCAGCTCACTGCTAATGCCTTGAATATCAATCAATGTGCGTTTCATTTCATTTTGAAGATCTCCATTTTTCCTAGGTTCATACTTTGTAAGTCCGTGTTCTGGTTATTAATAGATGTTGCCAGCTGTTCCTTCTCATTTGGAGTCATGCTCCATCAGCAAATGAAAGTCCTGGAAGTGTTACTGCATCCACATCATTGAAATCAAAGCAGCTCTTCTCCTATAAGATTTTAAGTGTCTTCCAACCTGATGTTGCTCCTATTGTTTTTTTTCCCTTCAATTTTTAAATCATTTTATTGGGGGCTCTTATAGCTCTTATAACAATTCATACATCAATTGTATCAAGCACTTTTGTGCATATGTTGCCATCATCATTTTCTGAACATTTTTCTTTCTGTTTGAGCCCTTAGTTTTACCTCCTGTTTTTTCCCTTCTTCCCCCACCCTCCAAACCTTGTGAACCCTTGATGAATTATAAATTACCCACGTTTCTTTGTTCTTCCCCTTTGGTGGGGGAGTGGGGTGTTATCCGTCCATCATTGCGATCAGTTCCCCCTTTTATCCCGCTTTCCACCCCATCTTTCCCCTACCCTCTTGGTATTGCTACTCCCATTTCTGTTCCTGAGGGGTTAATCTGTCTTGGATCCCGTGTGTCAAGAGCTCTTGTCTGTACCAGTACATGCTCTGGTCTAGCCAGGTTTGTAAGGTAGAGCTGGGGTCATGATATTGGGGATGAGGAAGCCTCAAGGAACCAGAGGAGTATTGTTTGTTTCGCCAGTGCTGTACTGCACTCTGGTTGACTAGGCCCTTCCTTTGTTGCTTCTATTCTTAAGTGTTCCAGTGGCTATTCCCTCAGAATTGGACAGCCTCTTGCTTCTTTGTAAAGCTGTGTTAGTGTGGAGGCTCCATTGAAACCTGTCCCATATGGGTGACCCTGCTAGCATTGGAAATATCAATGGCATAGCCTCAGGCATCGCAGCAACACATAAGCTACCACAGTAGGAAAAACTAACAGATAGTGATGATTAGTTAAAGAGCCCCAATTATGTGTTCAGAAGTGTAGCAACACTAAGTACAACAAGTCTTTAAGATTTATTTAGATCCTAATGAAGCATTAATCTAGCTTATCCACTCTTCTCCAATTTTAGTCTAATAAGGTCTTTATCTCAAACATATATAAGTACAATACGTATATAGGCACATAGAGAACATTTTTCACATCTCACGTTCCCACACACACAAAGAAACAGTTTCTTCATGGTCTTCTCACTATGTTTTAACTCCTACCATTTCCCCATGATTTAAAACATTCTCACCAGTTCACTCTACTGTATGCCAAACTCTTTTTTAACATGAATTTACTTTTAAAGCTATTTATTGTGAATTGGGTGATTTACATTGCATGTCACGTACATTGCATTCAACAATACATACATGTTTTGTTTTATCTCGTGCATTGCAATCTCCCAGTTTAACATCACTTATCCTACTTCCTCCCTGTTTCCTGTTTCTATTTGTCCTTTTTTAACCCTTCTGCATTTGATCCCCTTGATCTCAGTCCATTGATTATTCTAAGGTATGCTTATCTGATTCGTCTTATTGTTCTGCTTCTAGAGCTTGTTGATAACTGAGAGCTGGAGAGGAAATCAATCTCAGCCGAATGGTGTGTAATGATCACACTCTCAGGGGTCTACCAGTCTCTATCTCTGGGCAAGTGAAATTGCTTAAATATGGCTCCTCTATCCATGTAACTCCCACGCAAGCATTGAGTGGGACCATGCAAATAGGGTGTGCGAAACCCTCATAGTGATTGATCAGTTTTGCTCTTCCATTGCTTATATAAATGAGCCATCTCTAAAACAGGAAAAGAAAGAGTCCCGCGACCATAAAGAAAGAGCCACATCAGAGAACACGTGAGATCTCTGTGAATCGAGACAGAGGCAGTGTAGGTACCACAAGCCCCGGCATTAAGCCCATGAGGAAGAGCAGAAGTAATGCAGCTTCAGTGAGACACAACAGAGGTGCAGAGCTGAAATTAAGGGGCAGGGCAACAGGCAAATTTCCTGGCCATGGAGGCAGAGGCGAGGAGCCACAAGACGGAGAGGCTGAGGACCAGAGGTATGCCTACTAGTGTAGCTGGGAAAAGACACTCCAGACCAAAGAATGGTCACCTTACCATTTTGAAACCTGTTAGCTTCCCTAAACGAGCCCCGATGGCCCTGTCAGGGAGGTATTTGACTGCTAACTGCAAAGTCTCCATGTTAAATTCACCATGTGAGAAAGTTGAGGCTATCAGACACTGCAAAGGTTTACAGCCCCAGAAACCTGACACACAGCCACTGTAAGTCAGAATCAACTGGATGGCAGTTGAGTTTTTAAAATTATTATTATTTGTTTTGTGTCGTTGCTATTTTTGTAACTTTCCCAAATCCCCATCATCATGAATATTGCCTGTAAGTTCTGAGGGGCCCTTGTAATGCACTATTGAATCCTGCAGAGGAGAGCCATGGCATGGTTTGTTGTTACCACAATAGGGTAAAGAGGCTAGAAGTTGACCCCCGAATGCCCCCTCCCTGGGGGTCGGGGACAGGACCAGGAACCTTTGCCCGCTCCTACCTTCTGACATACAAGATGCTGCCGTTTGAAGTCCATTTGAAAGTAGTTACCAAAGAAAGGCAAGCGCCAGGGTCCCGGCGGGTAGTTTTTCGGGTGCCGCCTTTTTTGGAAATCAACAAAGAGCAGAAAGGCGAGGGCGCTCAGCAGGAGAGTCCGGAGACAGAACCCTGCCCAGATGGCAGCCCCCAGGGAGCCCACCATTGCTAGCCAGTCCAGGGCGTCCATTGCTCTTCTGTGGTCCCTGCCTGTGGCAGTCTGGCTTACTCGGCTAGTTCCAAGCCCCGCCCCGCCCCGCGTCGCCTCGCCCCGC